AAAAGAATAAAGAAGGTCTTCATGTAGTAAGCAGGGTGACCTCAAGATATATCATTAAGTTTAAAGTTTAAAATGGCAAGATTTACGGCCGGGCACGGTGACTCACGCCTGTAATCCCAGCACTTTGGGAGACCAAGGTTGGTGGATCATGAGTTCAGGAGATTGAGACCATCCTGGCCAACATGGCAAAACCCTGTCTCTACTAAAATACAAAAAATTAGCTGGGCATGGTGGTGTGCACCTGTAGTCCCAGCTACTAAGGATGCTGAGATGGGGGAATCACTTGAACTTGGGAGGCAGAGGTTGCAGTGAGCCGAGATCGCACCACTGTATTCCAGCCTGCCGACAGAGCGAGACTTCATCTCAAAAAAAAAAAAAAAAAAAGGCAGGAGTTAGAATCATGTATGGTACACTACTATTTGTGTAAGAAAAGGAGGGAAGGAATATATGCACATACACTATCATAATTATTTGCTTAAAAATCTCTAGAAGAAACTGACAACATTGGTTACTTTTGGAGAAGAGAATCAAGTGCCTAATGAACAGGGGAATGTGAAATAATTTTCACTAGGTTTTACATTTTGATGTTTGAGCCATATGAGTGCTCACTTTCTCAAAAATAAATGAAAGAAAAATGATATCTAAAAGGAAGAAATTATATAACTTGGAGATAACATAACTTGGAGTAAAAAAAATAAAAATATAGCAAAAAAATAAAAATACAAGGAATAACTTTCAAATCACAGAAAGAAAATTTGACCTATATATCTAGCAGAAAGTTAAAATAGGCTGCATGGTGAGATAATCCCAAAAAACAATTGACTGTGGGTGGACCTCTTTAAGTTAGGTGGTATTACCTGGACTGTGGGACCACGTTGAAAAGCCTCTAAGAAATCCCCAAGGCATGTACAGGTAGATCTACAATGCAGGTAGATTAAAGATCTAGATATGAAAGATCTAGATGATAGGGAGAAGAGCACCTCTTTGAAACTTTGGGATGGGGAAGGACTTCTTAAACAATACTCTATACTACAAACCACAACAGTTTTTTAAAGGATGGACTTATTATTTCAAAATTACTTGTTTTATTGTTTAATCACGGAAGGACACCAGTTGACAGTTAAGTGACAGTGATTGGGAGGCAATGTGTTCAGTGACTGAGCTAATATTTGGACCATAGAAATTATTGCAGCAAATCTATAAGACAGGAATCCTAGTAGAAAATGGACAGAGAATATGATGATAAACCATTCACAGCATGGGAAATCTAAGAGGTATAAATACATAAAGAGATGCTCAGACTCATTAGTTATGAGAGAAATTAAAATTAAAAAAAAAAAACACACCAGCTCTAGCTGATCAGGTTGGCAAAAATTCTGACCTTTGGAGAACACCACATATTAGATATATCCAGCAATAGGAACTCTTTTGCCTTCTGGTGGACATAGAGACTGGTCCAAGTCACTCTAAAGGGCAATCTGGCAGCACTTCATGAAAGAGTGTATGTTCCCTGTGATTCATAATAACCCCACTCTTATATCCCAGAAAACTTCTACCCCAGGCCTATAAAGGAAGAAATATAAGGAAATGCATCACAGTATTGTTTGGGGTGGTGAAAAATTAGAAACAGCTTAGGTATCCATAACTGGAAAATAAAGAAGTCAAATGTGGCAGATACACACTGGGATATTCTGAATCAATTAGAAAAGCAAAGAACTAGATAAATATTCAGCAGCATGGCTAGATCCTAAGAACACAGTTGAAAGAAAAAAGAAACTATGAAATCTACAGTACATCCATAGATTATAGTACATCTGTAATGCCACATCACATATCCATGAAAAATAGATGAAAGATATGCACAAACATTTCTATGTATTTTACAAGTTCAAGGCCAAATGTCATATTAGAGAAGTTGCCTCTGGGGAAAGGCAATGAGAGTGACGAATTATGATAAAAGAGAACGAATAAAACAACAAGAGATAGGTCATGTAGGTTTTGTTTCTGTGCCATGAACTCATGGATTATGATTAACTCAACCTTCTGCACATGAAGATAAACAAGAAAGAACTGATAAACCTGCAATGGTTGGGTAATCTTCAACTTCCAAATCAGTGAAGGTCAGCTCTAAGTTTGCCAAGTACACAACTTCTCATCTTGCGACATGTTGCCCACCTCTATGCAGTCTTAAAAAAATACCTCAGTGGTCTACTGATTTGACTGTGGATGCTTCTTCTAGATGTGCCATTTTTTTTTCTCAATTTCCTTAGTATCCAGCCCTACCCTCATTATAGCAACACACTGCATTCCATCCAAATTGAACAAAAAGCTTAAAAATCATCTGCAAGTTTATTGCACAAGCAATCTCTTAATTTTATCTTAGTGCATAAGTAAATGTTTCCTTTTTGTCAGAATAATTTTTTTAAAAGAAGTGATTAGATTTTCTTCTCTGAGTTAGCAGACGATTAAGTGTGATTTCCTCTCAACCTAGATTTGGGGCATTTTTATGTGAGATAGGATTAAAAATTCCATTTTTGTACAACCATTTAGAGAAGAGTTTGGCAGTTCCTCAAAAAAACTAAAAGTAGAGCTACTGTATGATCCAGTGATTCCACTCCTGGGTATATACCCATAAGAAGGGAAATCAGTATATCGAGGAGATGTCTGCTCTCTTATATTTGTTGCAGCACTGTTCACAATAGCCAAGATTTGGAAGCGACCCAAGTATCAATCAACATGGGTTTAAAAAAAATGACGTACTTTTATACACAATGGAGTACTATTCAGCCATAAAAAAGAATGAGATCCTGTCATTTGTAATAACATGCACAGAACTGGAGGTCATTATGTCAAATGAAATAAGCCAGGCACAGAAAGCCAAACATCGCATGTTCTCACTCATATGTGGGGTCTAAAAATCAAAACAATTTGATTAATGGAGCTAGAGAGTAGAGGGATGATTACCAGAGGTGGGGAAGGGTAGTGAGGGCCTGGAGGCGAGGTGGAGATGGTTAACTGGTACAAAAAAATACAGAAAGAATGAATAAGACCTAGTATTTGGTAGTACAACAGGGTGAATATAGTGAAAATAATTGAATTATACATTTAAAAATACCTGAAAGAGTATAATTGGGTTGTTTGCAACACAAAAGATAAATGCTTGAGGGGATGGATGCCCCATTTTCAATGATGTGATTATTACACATTACATGCCTGTATCAAAATGTCACACATACCCCATAAATGCATACATCTACTAAGTTCCCACAAAAATTAAAAATCAGAAAAAAGAATTGCATTTTCAGCTGTTATGGGGAGAAGAAAGAAAAGCTATCATTTTGTTGCCCTAAAAATTATGTTGTCCTCATTTCAAACAGGAAACAAAAAGTATTTGAGAGCCAGTGCAGTGGCTTGGTGTTGGGCGAAATATAGATTGAATTTGGGCCATTCGTTTAAACTTCCTGGGCCTCAGTTTCTTGCCTATTAAGAGGGAGTGCATAGTTCATGGGATTGTTGAGAGGAAGAAGTGAAACCATGCATGTGGAGAGCCTGGCACAGTATCTAAGACAGAGTGTGCATGCAAATAAGTAGATAACATTGTTTGCTTTTCTTTATTGCATGCCTGTAATATTTTTGGAGCTGTCACATTCATTGCCCTCAAGTAGCATCAAGAGATGAAATGAAGTTTGTAAGAAAACCCTGAGGCTGAGGAATACAACATGTTTTATGTCTTCTACATTGAAAAATACTGGAGTCAGATAAAGAATACATTCTCCTGAGGATGGAAATCAAGATCTTGGCCTTCAATATTTAACAACATTGATCTTCCAACTTACTATGGGAAATATTCATCAGGCCCCTAAGTGTTCCTTTTGGACAGAAATTACACTTGTTATATCTGTATTCTTAGCAGACAGTAGAAAGTCTGGCACATCATAGAGGCTTAAGGAATCCTAAATATCCCTTAAAATTCTCATTGTAAAGACCAAAAAAAAAAAAAAAAAAAGAAAGAAAGAAAGAAAGAAAAAACAAGCATGGGCTTGACCAAATCAGTGGTAGAACCAAGAGTTAAACCACTTGTTTTGAATCCTAAACCTGAATTTTTATTATTTTTGTTTATTTTTGTTTATTTATTTATTTATTTATTTATTTTGTCAGATGCTTGGTCAAAGAACAGTGGGAAGAGAGGGACGGGTTTCCAGCAACCTTTATTATTGGCTTACTTTCTTACAGCCCATTAATTTCTCTTGGGAAAATATTAAGCAGGCACTCAAGGCTTGAGGCCACTGAGTTTTTACATCCTTTCTGAACCTCTGAACCTGCTTTCCAGCATTCTTTTATACTTTGTTTTACCTGCTGGTCACTAATGCCTCACCTCAGTCTTCTCCTCTAAAAGTGTGGTTAATGACATCTTCCTGACTATCTGAAGACCACTGGCCAAAACCCAGCAGCTCACTCATATACTATTCCCCTACTTTACTTTCTTCAAAAGACTTAGCCCTGCCTAAACTTATTTATATGTTTATTTTCTGCCCACCAGAATGGCAGCATGGCTGGGGAGGCAGAGTCTGTTTTGTTCATTGCTGTACTCCCAAAGACTAGAACACCACCAAGCACACAGTATAGGTCTCAGTAGTTATTTGTTGTCAAATTTATGTGGACATGCTTTTAAACAATATCTTCCATTTACTGAGTGTTTATGTGGAAGAACTGCACTAAATTTTAATGCATTTCTTTATTCTTATTCTTAAAACTTTCCAGCAAGGTGGCTCTACCACCCTCTTTTCTGAGCTTCAGGAGCAGTTATGCGAACAGCTGGAGAACACCAGGCTGGATTTAAACCCAGATGGCTCTTACATTTGCTCTTTACCTGCTGTTCTCAGCGTTCACGTGCCCTCTAGCTGTAGTTTTCTGAAGTCAGCGCACAGCAAGGCACTGTGCTTAGAGGTTAACAGAAGGGAAAACAACCACAAAAATCTAAATGAGAATCCTGACTGTTTCAGCTGGGGGTAAGGGGGGCGGATTATTCATATAATTGTTATACCAGACGGTCGCAAGCTTATTCCAATTGCAGAGAACCCGCTTCCCAGGCTTCCGAGAGTCCCGGAAGTGCCTAAACCTTCTGGGGCTTGGGTGGCCGGTCGCTGCCTGGTGTCTTCCCATTACCCAGGGCGGGCAGCCAAGTGGTGCCTCCCGCGTCCCCCACACTTTCCCTTAGCCCTTCCCCTCCGGCCTGTCCTGGGCAGGTGACCTGGAGCATCTGGCAGGCTGCCCTGGCCTCCTGCGTCAGGACAACGCCCACGAGGGGCGTTACTGTGCGGAGATGCACCGCGCAAGAGACACCCTTTGTAACTCTCGTCTCCTCCCTAATGCGAGGTTAAAACCTTCAACCCCACGTGCTGTTTGCAAACCTCTCTGTACCTGAGGCCCTAAAAAGCCAGAGACCTCACTCCCGGGGAGCCAGCATGTCCACTGCGGTCCTGGAAAACCCAGGCTTGGTCAGGAAACTCTCTGACTTTGGACAGGTGAGCCACGGCAGCCTGAGCTGCTCAGGTAGGGGAATTTGGGCCTCCAGAGAAAGAGGTCTGAAGACTGCTGGTGCTTCCTGGTTTCCTAAGCTCAGTAAGAAGTCTGAATTCTTTGGAAGCTGATGGGAATGTCCAGGAAGTCAACAGACAAATGTCCTCAACAATGTTTCTAAGTGGGAGAACATCTGTCGTGGGTGACTTTCACAGGAATGAGTGACCATTGCTTTACGGGGTTGGGGATCTGGCCTCCAGAACCGCCACCAATTAGTTGTGTGTCTTTGGACAAGTTACTGTCCCTCTCTGTTGTCTGTTTACTTTTCTGTACACTGAAGGGGCTGGTCCCTAATGATCTGAGGTGGGATGTGGAGTCCTTCTAGATTTCTTTTGTAATATTTATAAAGTGCTCTCAGCCAGGTGTCAAAATGGCAAAATTGTGAGTAAGTATCCTCCTTTCATTATGGGAAGAAGATGAGGCATGAAGAGAATTCAGACAGAAACTTACTCACACCAGGGAGGCAGAAACTAAGCAGAGAGGAAAATGACCAAGAGTTAGCCCTGGGCATGGAATGTGAAAGAACCCTAAATGTGACTTGAAAATAATGCCCAAGGTATATTCCATTCTCCAGGATTTGTTGGCATTTTCTTGAGGTGAAGAATTGCAGAATACATTCTCTAATGTGACCTATATATCTACCCATGGCAAGAAGTCTACTACTGGACTCTGAGATTCAGTCATAAAGCTAGACCCGGGAAGTAATGTGAGTCTGCAGCGCCCTGTCATCTGTAGGATTAGGGAGAAGAGTTGTCAGTAGAGAACAGGGAGGCTGAAGAGAAAAGAATGGTTGATGTTAACGTTAATATAACTAGAAAGATTGCCCAACTTTGGACTGATTTTTTTTTTTTTTGAATCTTTAAAAAAAAAAAAACTTCTTATGAAAATGGTGCATGGCTCTTAGGAGATAGAACTTATTGTACAGAGGAACAGCGTGAGAGTCAGAGTGATCCCAGAACAGGTCCTGGCTCCATCCTCCACGTAGTTTTGTTGCTGCTGGCAATAGGGTCCCCACAACTGTGGGAAGCGGTTAGGGGCAGCGATCTCATCAGGAAAGCATGGGGGTTTAAAATTCTTTATAGAGCACTTAGAAGATTGAGAATCCACAAATTGTATTAATAACAAACAAAAATAGTGTCTTGTTATGTAGTAAATGTGAATTTGCAGACACATTTAGGGAAAAGTTATAATTCAAAAAAATAGGCTGCATATTTATCAATGGTTCCAAAATTTTCTATGGTTAAGAATCACCCGGGATGGTTTTGAAATGGCAGTTTCTAAGACAACCTGATTTAATAGGTTTAGGTAAAGCCCAGGGAACTGCATTATAAGCTGTTAGCAGTGGTATTGACTAACTCTCTGGTGACTGGACCACAGTAAATCTTTTACTTCGCAAGAAACAGAGGACTAAATTCCCATATTATGTCCATAGCAAAGGGAACTATATAGAACAATTGATAATTTGGAGCTGGAGTTCTTGACCAGCCTCCACTACCTATGTGGCTTCAGGTGAGTTACTTTCTCCCTTTGGCTCTAAGTTTTCCCCACCTGTAATGTGAGGGAGTTTAACTAGATGAGCACTAAGGACAAATCAATTTCTGTTGGTTAATTATTATAAAGTACCATGCGGGCATCAAATGTCAAGTGGAAAGCATAGATAAAGAAGTGATTGTGCACCTGGGCTGAGGGGCACAAACGTTTCCCAAGAGAAGTGAGACCCAAAAGAGCCTTTAAGGAAGGTGAGATCTTGGAAAGGGAAAATTGGTGATTACTCTAATGAGGAGCTAAAGAGGCAAGAAAGAAAGCAGCTTGGCTGGAAAGGAGGTTCCTGTAGTGGGCCTCCAGAGATAAGGTACCCCAGAAACTGCCAAACATCAGCAAGAAGCCATGGGGAGGGAGCGTTTGAGGGATTCTAAGTAGAAGAAGGACACGAGGAAAAATGTCAGGCTGGATCTGTGCAGGCCACTAAGAAATGGATTCAGGTGATGGCAGTGGGAACAAAGAAAGGACCTGATGCCCAGAGGCATTTCTGGAGAAGACGAGATCAGACTTGTGATTGGCTGAACACACACTGGAGTGGGTGGGGATTGGGAGGTGACTCAGCTTTAGCCCAGGTACGTTCAAGTCTGAATTGCCCTAGTCAAAGGTAGCACCTGTTGACGTGTATCAGAAATATCTTACTTTTCTTGGAAGCCAACAGGAGAAAAGTGTTGCCAAGTGAACTAGAAACAGGAATATCTTTTGTCATTTCACAGACACTGGAAAGAAGAAGGCTCAGTGTTCTTTGGTAGGAAGAAGACTGAAGTCAGATACTCATCTGTACCTCTCTGGCAGGGTTTAAAAGGGGGAAGGGGAATAGAGGCTGCAAGAGATTGTGATTCATGGATAGTATGCAGAGATCAAATGACCTGGGTTCAGATCCTGGCTCCACTGCTAACTGTGTAATATAGGCAAGTTACTTAACCTCTCTAAGCCTTAATTTTGTCATCAATAAAAGGAGGCACTTGGTGCCTAATAAAACCTACCTCTTAGGTTGTTGCCAGAATTACATGAGATAATCCAAATCAAGTGCTTATTATAATACCCGGAAATTATAGGCTCTAAATAAATGGGGTATTAACAGTTTTTTAGAAAGATAACATCATGATCAAAATAGGGATATTTAACGGTTTAGTCTTCCATTTCATTTGAAGCTCCCTATAATCACTCTTGCTGATAAATTTGTTTTTTCTCTCATACCTCAGTTTCATGGGGATGTTTTGGCAAAACTCTGCATTTTCTGAGTTGAAAGAATTTTTTGCTAAGGGTCATCAGTATTCATGAATTCTGAGCTTGTTATTCTGAGTCACTAAGAGTTTCCTAACACAGCCTTCTCTCATTGAGATGATGTAACATCCATTCCATTAATTTCATTAACTTGCTTACAAGAGAGTAATTGTTCTGCAAATTTGTTTCTTCTCAGTTTTAGGTACCTGCTGTTTATTGTGGGCACACATAGAATTTTATGTATTATTTTTAAACTTAGGCTAATGTTTTAGCAAACTCTGGAATGTCAGTCCTAACCCCAACCTTGGTTTTCTGTCACGTGCACATAGTAAGTGCTAGATCCTGGACATTCTTTTAGATTTAGTTTAAGACTAAGTTTATTTTCTAATGGATTATTTGTATACTTTCATGGATTTTGTGGCTCTTTTTCAACAATTGGATATCTCAGATCTCAGCATATGGGAGCAAATTAATGCGTCCCGAGATCTTTGCCAAAGGTCAAGAGGTCATTTTTGTGTATTTATAATATTTTCACCATTTTTATATATTTCTCAAAATTCTTTTTAAACTGTTCTTTTCCTTTTTTCATCATCTGAATACTGTTTTGACAGAGCTTGTTATTAGCATGCTTTTACAGATGAGAAAACAGAGAAAGCTGAGTGATTTGCCCAAAGTAGTCCACCTGGAAAATGAAAGAGAGAGGATTCCAATCCAGGTCTTAGGACTCAAAAGCCTGTGTATGTTCCATTTTTAGTACTTTTCACACTGTATTTCTCAATATCTTTCTGGGACATTTTATAAACCATATTATATCACCTCTAAGGATCTTTCAGTTTGTTATATATGTGTCTATTAAATTAGATTGTGAGCTCCTAAAAGATAGAGCATTGTCTTACTCATCTTTAAATTTCTCAGAGCCCAAATAGTGTCTGGAACCCAGTAGGTGCTCATTAGAAGTATCGAATTTACAGGATTGAATGGTTACATCAATGAATAATTGAAACTTCCTTAAGTTGATAACTGACTCAGTGGCATCATTGATCATTTAATTGCCTTGGACTTACTTATTTTCCACCACACTACATATTTCTGTATGAAATATATATAGCTCGTTGTATTGCAAGATTTAACTAGAAGAAAGTTCATGTTTGCTTTGTCCATGGAGGTTTAATAGGAATGAATTGCTAAACTGTGGAAAATGTTTTAACCAAATGCATCTTATCCTGTAGGAAACAAGCTATATTGAAGACAACGCCAATCAAAATGGTGCCATATCACTGATCTTCTCACTCAAAGAAGAAGTTGGTGCACTGGCCAAAGTATTGCGCTTATTTGAGGTCAGTGCTACATTCATGTTTGTCTTGGATAATGTCGTAGCAAACTTCCATGTTATTTTCTAGTTAGATGCAATGAAAAGAACACAGGATCTGGAACAGGCAGATTTGAATTTCAACTCAGGTTCTTACATTAACCAACTGTGTGACCTTAGCTAAGTCATTCAATCTGTCTGAGTTTCAGTTTTCCATTCATAATATAGTGCTGATAATATGTGCCTTGTCAGCTTCAACAGGAACTTTGTGATGAAATAATGTGTTTTGTAAAATGCCTAATCACATGTGTGATTAACTATAATCATATGTGACACATGTGATTACATGTTATATGAAATGTAATCACATGTGTCACATACGATTACAGGTAAAGACTAGACAAAAACGAGAAATACATATTAATTCTTTTATTCGCTAAATTAATATTGATTGTCTTCTATGTGTAGGTATAAAATAATATGCAAGACACCGTTCCTTGCTTCAAGCAGCTTAACGCAAAACTATGTTTTAGAAAATAGCTAATGTTCTTCAAGACATTGGTAAATGTTTTATGATTAAAGTGGTTCCATAATTAATAAACTTGGGAAACTTGGGCATATTAGTTTACCTGATTTCTTTATTATAGAACTTTTAGAGTCTCTAAAACTAATTATACTAAGTCGTTTAAAGAGAGAAATGTATGTATTATTTTCCAAATTTACTTGACTGTGGATCCTTTTTTATTTTAAGAACATTTAGTAACATCTTGGAATAGAGTTTAGGAAATATTGATTTGGGTGTTTGCTGGGCAGCCAAACTTCACAGAATTCCAAATAGGTTTCCTCATCCAGATTCCTCCCAAGTACTATGCTAATATTTTTGCTGGAATTTCGTCCCACCTGAAAATGCATTGCTTTATACTGAGATTCCTGGGACCTCTCTAGCTGATTGGGAGGCAGGGGTAGCACATTGGTCAGGGTTGTGCACATAGTTAGTGCTTAGTGTGTTTGGGCATACAATCAACAAATCATTTTGTGGCATGACTGGATATGATTAGATATCTTGTAAAAACCTATGATGTTCTCAGTACTATGGGTGGGGAGGAAGATGGGGGATACACAGAAATTGTAAGAAAGAGAAACTGCCTCCTTTAGGATCTATCAGGGGAAGCAAATATTCTGAGTAGCTGGGGAGGGAAGGCAGAGCATGAGAAGTTATCTCAGTAAAAGGTAACTTTATAGACATGATCTTATTCAGTCTTATGAAAATAACATGAGGTAGGAGCTATTTCTGCTCCCATTTTTCAGAGGTAGAAACCGAGGCTTAGAGGGATTAGGTAAATGTACCCAAGGTCAAACAGCTAGTAAATACTGAAGACATCATTTAAACCCAGGCATTCTGACTCCAGAACCTACAGACACTCTTAACTGCTATTCAGCACTGCCCCAGACAGAATGGGCTTCATAGTTTACAGGGCCCAGTGCAAAATGAAAACGTGGGGTCTCTTCCTCAAAAACAGGAAACAACGCTGTTAAAAGTACTAAAATATATAACTTTGTCCTGTCTTCTGTGGTCTCTCTCATGTCCTGTTATGGTGTTTTTGATTTGCCATTTAGTTGTGCTCTCCTTCCCTGGGCACAGTGGCCCTCTAACTGCTGGGTTCCCTCTCCAGCCAGTGCTGGGCTGACAGTTAAGCCTCTACCAAGGATGGGGAAATCCATGTTTCATTTCCGTGGGCCTGCTGCACCAACCCACAGTGACAAGCTATCCCCCAAGAGATTGTAACCTCTGGATGGAGAATGGAAACAAAGCTTGCCTAAAGCCAAACCACCCGCCAAATCCCCTGCCAGATCTCCCAGGGTTGGGGGAGAGTGGCAGCTGAATATGAGCTTCCCCGCAAAGGCCATGCCTCCTGGTCATGACGCTGGGCAAACGGCAGTAGTGGTGGTGAGGTAAGACCAGGGAGGGGAAGGCTGTGTGGGCCCAGAGGTCCAACAAGCTTGAAAGCAAGCCTTTAGAACCATGGCTGAGAAAGTAAGGAGAGGGCAAATGGTGTAATTACACATGAGCTGAGTCTCCAAATACCCAGCATGTGCTTCATTGTCCCATTGGACTTTGCTTATCAAACACAAATTCAAAAGTCGTTATTAAGAATTTCAACTCACGCCTGTAATCCCAGCACTTTGGGAGGCCGAGGCAGGCGGATCACGAGGTCAGGAGATGGAGACCATGCTGGCTAACACGGTGAAACCCCGTCTCTACCAAAAATACAAAAAATTAGCCGGGCATGATGGTGGGCGCCTGTACTCCCAGCTACTCGGGAGGCTGAGGCAGGAGAATGGCGTGAACCCGGGAGGTGGAGCTTGCAGTGAGCC